CCCCTCCCCTTCCCTTTCCTTCCCTTCCCAGCCGGGTTGCTCACCATGCCTGGGACTTCCTGCGGGGCATGCCATGCCTATGCCATGTGGAGTGAGGGCTCAGGTGGTAAATCAGCTGCCTGCAGATCCTGTCTGCGGACTTCCAGGGGTCATATTCCTGGAAATAAAAGGACACGTCAGCCCCCGGCCGCACGACTCGGGCACGTGCCAGGGTCGTGGGGAGAACGTGACACTGCAGAGTGTCCCAGAGAGGACAGATGGGATGGGGGAAGGGTAGGAGAGGCAGGGGGCTGAGAGAGAAAGAGAAAGGAACAAGAGAAAGGGGGAAAGGCAAAGATGGGGCAGAGGTCTGGGGCAACAGGAGATGAAGTAATGGGCAACGTGACAGGGAGCGGGAAACAGGAGAGTGGAAGGGGAAAGAGCTCTAGGGAGGGGCTGCCAGAGCTGAGAGTCTGGCTGAGAAAAGGGAAAATCCCTCCTACCCAACCACACACTTTCCCCACCGGCCCCTGGTGTGCTCTGGGCGGCGGGGGGGGAGGGTAGTTGGAGTTTGTCCTCTTCGGAGTGGGAAGCATACCTGGCACCCGAATCACAGTTCTACACAGGAAGCCTTCTAGTCCCTTTTGCCATCCATGCAGAATAGCTGCATCTGCCATACCCCAAAGGTTAGGTGACGTGGAACAGAACGGCGCTTGCAGGCCAGTTTCATCCTGTCCCACCCACTTTTACCACCGCATTCGAACACATGCAAGCACACACGCACACACAGAGTTCGGGCTAAAGACTTACTAGCAGTCACTAACCCTTTTCTTACTCCAGTGGTTCATGGTAGCCCTCCAAGCGTCTCCCTCTTTAACACGCCACTCATCCCACTTTACTCAAAATGGAAAACCAGTATATGCTGGTTTCCTGCCCTACATGGTTAAAATGACAAAGGTGCAGACTATACCTCCATTTACTGAACCCTGCCTCAGCTTATGGTCTGCCCACGTCAGGACAACAAACACTCCGCCACACCGTGAGAAAGTGGTCAGAACCGTGATGTGACTGAATGCGGCATGGGAATGTACCTCTTTACAGTCATCAGGATACATCCAACAGTGTGTTTCCATGGCAGAGAAAAGCCATGGAGAGATGTCAGGTGTGTGTGTGGGGGGGGGGGAGGTAGGGATTTTTTCTCTCTTGCAAATGGTAAGTTTTACCGGAGAAGTTCCATTTTCTCTCATTTAGCTTTGCCAGAAAACATTCCATTTTTTGACAACAGAAAAATGAAAACTGTTGGATTTTCTGTTTCTGAAAATGGGAACCTATTGTTTCAGGTTTTGGTTACCCAAAAGCCCCACAATTTTTGTGTTTGGATTCTCTATGAAAACACGAACATTTTCAAAGAAAATGATGTTCCTGACCTGTTCCAGGGAATCTATTTTGGGGCAGGAGTGGGAAAGGGCATTAGCAGACTTCCCCCCAGGGACACAGTTTAAAAGAATAACTTTGTGAACTTCTATTTTTTTTCTTTTGTATGAGAAGCTGCCCTAGAGCAGATAGTCTCACTCTAAGCTAAGGGTGGGGAATCTTTTTTGGGTTGGGGGGCCGCTGACCCACAGAAAAATCAGTCGGGGACCACACAAATGAGGAGCAAAAAAAAAAAAATCGAAACGAAACAAAAAAAGCCCTCACTGAAGTGCCCCTCCCCACCGAAGCAGAAAAACACTCCCCACATTCTCCTTGCACATCAGCACCTAGAAGTTCCAGGCTAGAAGATTTTGTGTGCTCCAGTCCCCTGGAGGGAGGCAGGCTACCCAATGCAGGGTAGCGGGGGAGCAGTGTGGCTCAGGAGACCATCCAGGCCCCATGCAGCTCCCGGGCCTTAGGTTTCCCACCCCTGCATTAAGCCCATTCTGAGCAGCATGTGGGAAGGCTCTTAGCAAGGGTTTTTCTGAATGAAATATATGGGGAACTCCTGCCAAAGATTAAATGCTCCATGGGGAGGGATTTCTTTGAGCATTGGATAACGGGAATGGAACTCAATGGTAATTATATTGTAAAGCCCAAATGAAGGCATTTGGATGTTTCTCACTCAGGGTATGTCTACACTACCACCCTAGTTCGAACTAGGGTGGTTAATGTAGGCAACCGGAGTTGCAAATGAAGCCCGAGATTTGAATTTCCCGGGCTTCATTTGCATCTTGCCGGGTGCCGCCATTTTTAAACGTCCGTTAGTGCGGCCTCCATGCCCGCAGCTACACACGACACGGAGTAGGTAGTTCGGACTAGGCTTCCTGTTCCGAACTACCGTTACTCCTCGTGGATGGATGGAGCCATGTAGTTTAGACACACCCTGTGAGATTATCCTGGCCCTGTGCTGCACGGAACTGCTGGCCAGAGGAATTTGCACTGTGTGTAACACAGGGAATGGATGACACGATTTCTCTCTATCCAGGCAATGGCAGGGGAGGGCGTGTGCACGCCCACGGGGCCTGGGGAGCTTCCTTCATCCTTTTGCCGCCCTCTTCATGAATGGTCATTGTAATGACCAAGACCAATGTTGGACATGTTGCTTGAATATAGGCAGGCGGCACCACTCAGCCTTGATACAAGAAGTTCCTGGTTGACTGCCATTGCTTTACACAGTCAGGACAGAACATTTCCCAAGCCCTAAATCAGATTACCGTAAAATCACGAGTATAATGCGCACCGATGTATAATGCGCACCCTGACTTTTGAACCTTAGCATAATGAAAAAAACTGAACTCCTATCTATAAGGCTCTCCCCACTGTACATCGAGCTTACCTCAGACATTTTTCTTTAAAAAGGCCAGGAGCCGACCCCGCCAGCATCAAGCCCAGCCTCGCCTGCTTCCCGGAGGCAGCCCCGGGCTGCAGGAGAGCGGGAGGGAGGAACGCGTTGCTCCCACCTGCAGGCTTGCCCGGGAAAAGCGCGCAGCCCAGGGAGCCAGCGGCAGAGTTTGAAACTTGCTCCCCGCCTCCCTGGACAGCTGCCTGTGCACCGCACCAAGCTCACATCTGCCACGGGGACCACCGGTCGCAGTCTGAAGGAGCACCAGGCAGGCAGTGAGCCAGGGCACTGCAGCCTGGCGGCACCACTGGCTCCTCACCTTGTCTGGGAGTCTGGCGGGGCGGCGGCCGCTGCGCCGCACTGCAGCGGGAAAGTTTCTGTGCGGAGGAGAGGGGGAGTTCCCCGGCCTGAGGCTACTTGCAGGTTCGTTGGCTTCTGCCAAAATAAAACTTTAAAATATAGCTCCTATGTATAATGTGCACCCCGACTTCGACACTAAATAACCCGGAAAAAAAGTGTGTATTATACTTGAGATTTTACGGTATTATTGTGATTTAACTTCTGTCCTTCAGATATTGCAGTCCCAGCCACCGGCACTCCCGCCCCATCCCCTCCCACTCCGAGAGGCTGGGACTTAATATCTGTTCTCCCTCCATTCCTGCCATGACGTCTGCTCTGGGTTACTGGAAAGAGACAGGGGGAGCTCCCAAGGGTCCGTAGTCTCATGCCGTTCCCTACGGCGCTTCCCATTGGACGGCACCAAAATAGCCGAGTTTGGTTGCACAAGTTCTCCTTCGTGCACACTGCAGGGCGACTACGAGAGAGGCAGAGCTAAAAGCTACGTGGGGGAGTCTACGCTGCACCATAGGTCAAAACAAGATAGGCAATTTGAGCTCTGCAAACAGCGTATCTTGTTTCAATGTTATTTCGAAAGAGCTTATTTTGGAGATTTCTAAATAACCCGCTATTCTGACACTTCCCTTACCCCTCATGGAACGAAGTTTGCAAGGGATGTCAGAATAGTGAGCCCGTTATATTTCCAAATAGCGGGCTTTTTGTGAAGACACGGGATAGCTCTGGAATCCCGAAATAGCGCTGCTGTGGGGACGTAGCCTGTGAGCACTATGGGAAGGTCAGGCTAAGACAATTTCATCCAGTGAGGATTCCCCAATGTCCCCGTCTAATTTTAAAAACCTTCACGGCTATCCAGCCCGTACCTGTGCGACTGCAACACAACATGTGGAAGTGGGAGCCGTCCAGGAAAGCTGAGAGAAATGATGCTAATTTCATTCTTTAGGGCAAATGATTCAAATGCCATGCTTCTGGGCACCGTATCTTTACAAGGAAGGAGCTGAAGCATCCCAGCTCCCTGGGGACATGGGGCATGCATAATGCCAGCACGTGGCTTTCCGCTCTCATGTGCGACTGCAACACAACATGTGGAAGTGGGAGCCGTCCAGGAAAGCTGAGAGAAATGATGCTAATTTCATTCTTTAGGGCAAATGATTCAAATGCCATGCTTCTGGGCACCGTATCTTTACAAGGAAGGAGCTGAAGCATCCCAGCTCCCTGGGGACATGGGGCATGCATAATGCCAGCACGTGGCTTTCCGCTCTCACTTACAGTGCCGCTTACCGCAAACAGCTGGCAGGGACTTGTGCACACCTGCTCTGCTGCAGCCTGCCGCATGGAATCCCGGGGTGGCCCCTGCCTGTCTCTCTGCAGCCCACGGCGGGGCGCAGAGCTGGGAGTGGGGTCTGCGCAGTTATATACAATGTGACATGTTCTCTGAATGCCGTAGGGCTTTGTGTTCAGCTGCTTTCATTTTACAGCCTAGCACAGTCGGCTGCAGGCATTCCTACAGCTGAGCCCTGCCGCCTGTTCCTTAACTAGAAACCTGCTGCCCTGTAACTAGAAACCTGCTCTGATTTTAATGGCTGGATGGGAAATTGTGCACAGTCCCTGTTTAGGATCCAGAGCTTGGTGCTGCCAGGTATCCGTCTGGCAAACAGAACGAAGCAAGGGAGGGTGACTGGTCTCCACTATTTACCCCTTTACATCCCTGCAGGGCTGATACTGCGAGGTGCTGAGCCTGATCTACTCCTTCACTTCGCTCCTATTGACTTCAAGGGCAATTGAGGTGCTCAGAATGTGTACCTGCCCAGAGGGGTGTTTATAGGCAGAGTGCGCTCTGTCTGCTCACCCAGCAGAAGGTAGCACCATTTATCATCACCTCCCCTGGAAGGCACCGCACTTCCTGAGGTCAAAGAAGCAGTCAGCGTGAAAGAACTCGTAAGCCCAGAAGCCACGAGAGTTGCAGTTGCAAAGCACTTCCATTGCAAACCTTTATTTTGAGATGCTTATAACCTGCGGAAAGAAATAACCCTCTGAGAGGACATTTTTCATGCTGCTTTTCAGTGTGGAGGTGGTGGTTTAAAGTTTCCCCCTGCTGCCATTTGCCTGCTGGCAAGCCAGCTGCGTGGGGTCAGGGTGGGGAGGAAGGTTGTTTCTCTGAGCTAATGGCCTATGGCAGCCCATGTTCCCTGTCAGCTGAGCGCTTGGGCGGCCGCCCAGGAGAAATTCAAGTGCTGTCCTGCTGACTAGCAGAGCACCCACAGCCTCGCACAGCCAGCAGCATGAGTTTCTATTGGTGGTGCACCTCCACACATACCTGGCTGCTCATAAAAAATTTATTCTGCACATGGATGGAAAAAAATTAGAGGGCACGTTGACCACAGCCAACCTGTCCTGATCCAAGGAGCCCTAGGCACTCCCTGTCACACTGACACTCTGCTGCTCTCAGGAAATGATGCAGGTGCCGTTTTGGGGCTTGGATACCTGAGCTGTCCCATGTGGGATGGTAGGAAGAACTCCCCCCTCTGCCCACCCTTCCTGCAGCAAAGGTCTGCCATGCAGGCTCTGCAACGGGGCTGACGCAGCATCCCACATGCACCCAGCATGGGCCTTTCTGCCCTCCACTCCCACGCAGGGCAACAGAGGGGGCAGCTCCCCACCCTGCAGGAACAGGTCCTCCGGTCACATTTTTAAAGCAGCTCAGCTCCTTTACTTGGGGAGTTTTCAGAAGGGCTCTCCCTAGCGAGCACTGGGCTTGACTGAAGATCTGTCCCCATGGGACTAATGGGAGCAGCTGGGGGGGCGAAGCACATCTTGAAAAATCGGGCTCTTATGGGCACCCAAATGGGAGCTGACCTCATTTGAAAATCTACTCCCCTATGTGGATTCTGAGCCCTGGGTTAAGTGGCCCTGAGCTCTTGGGGTCCCACAAGCTCATTCCTGCAAGGAAAAGCTGGTTGACTGGAATGGGAGTTGTGCGCGCAGAGGGCTCGCCGGGTATCTCTCCAGACGTACCTGCATGCATCCCAGTGTCTGCCCGAATGCATGCATGCACAGAAACACCTGCCCACAGCTGATGCAGAGCCCCAGGGATATTTGGGGGATGGGTGGGGCTATAGCTGGAGCTCCACACATTTGCATCTCACACCTCACCACCCAATACGCGGTTCAGTCCGATGGGTGGTCATTTGACTATTCCTCCCCTCCCCCTTCTTTCTGAAATAGGGAAACCCACAGTATACCGCTGATGTCAACGCCATGGCAGGATAGACAGCCAAGTCAGGGGCCTTGATCCTCCACCCCTTATACCCGTTTTACATTGGTGCCGCTTCTTTGTATGGCCAGACAACACGTATGCACGTAGTGGGTTTGTGTGATGAAAGCTGGGCTTGCAAACACGGGACAGATTGCCCTAGAGACACCTGCACTTTTAACCCTCTTGTACACAAACGTGCATTGCAACTCAGTTTACTATTGTGTTGGGAGGGAATTTCCTGACTTCCTTGCACTGAACACTTAACACGCAGACTCTATGGGTACGTCTAGACTACAGGCTTTTGTTGACAGAAGTTTTGTCAACAGATATTGTCGACAAGGCTTCTGTCGACAAAGAGCGTCTAGACTACATCCGGTTTTGTCGACAAAGCAAGCCGCTCTGTCGACATGACAGTGTAGGCGCAAAGGACAGTGTAGATGCAATAACGCCTTCTGTCGACAGAGCTCAGCGGCAGTGTAGACGCAGGTTTAGTTTTGTCGACAAAAGTCCACTTTTGTCAACAAAACCCTGTAGTCTAGACACACCCTATAGATGTCACTCCCATGGGATTAGGTTGGCTCATTCTAGAGAAAAAAAATGGTCACCTCTCTTTCATGACTGTGGTTCTTCAAGATGTGTTGCTCATGTTCATCCCATGTAGGTGCGTGCATGCGCCGTGTGCACAATTGTCAGATTTCTCCATCACGGTACCTGTTGGGCCAGCCAGGGAACCTCCGGGAGTGGCGTTGGTATATTGGTGAATATATACCCCTGCTGGCCCTCTACCCCCTCAATTCCTTCTTGCCGGGACACTGATGAAGGTGGGTGGGATTTGGAATGGACACGAGCAACACATCCCAAAGAGCAACCGTTACAAAAGGCAGGCAACGTTTTTTTCTTCTTCCAGTGCTTGCTCGCACCCGTTCCATTTAACTGAATCCCAAACCCACGCTAAAGCAGGTGGGCTCAGAGGCTCACTGGAAATAGACTGCAACACTGCTCTGCTGGAGATGAGTTGCCCTGCCGATATTGAGGATGGGTACCCGCACTAAAAAGGCTGCTGAAGAGGCCTGGGCGCAAGTGGAGGGGCAAGGATTACTAGCCAGCACTTTAGTGAGGTCATAATAGGTCCTGATGCAGGCTGTGATCCATGATGATATACACTAGGCAGACTCTAAATACAAGGCCAAAGCATCCAGGGTTTGGTAAGAAGGCACTTGCAGAGGCAAGGACTGGAGTGTGCCAAGAACCATCATGGGTGGCAAGATGGAACTGAGGGGATGGAGAGAAATGCTCCCGCTTATCTTTTCCATCTTTGGGTGGATTTCTTCCACCCAGGTGTGGAATAAATTTTTATGTGCACTAAGTCACGTGCTGATGTGCACCACCAGGGAGAAACACAAACCCAGCTGGGGGCGCTCTGCTAATCAGCATTAGAATCTCTTGAGTGGCTGCACAGGCATCCAGCTTACAGGGAACTTGGGTGGAGGGAGAGCAGCCTTCTAATGATCCATGGACACGGTGCGCGCACATCTACATGGCATGGAGGAGAACACACACTCCAAAAACTACAGCTCCTCGGTTCAAACGCAACAGAGAATAGAGTAGCACCGGCCAACTCAATAAGCTCATTCCTGGGTCAGCTGTTTCTCCCAAGAGCACCACTGTATGAGCAGGCATCACCTTTTTGGGGCACTGCAGGTCTCTAGCGAGGCTCATCAGCAGGTCGTGGGAGATGGGGTCCACCAAGTTGAGGAAAGTAGCGTTCTTGTAAAGCACTTCGCTGAGGAACGTCCCTTCCAGCCCCAGGTCCTAGGAGAGAACACAGGCAGTGAAACGCAGGGGCTCCTGAAGAACAGAGAGTTGTGACACTTTTTTAAAGTGCAGCGTGAAAGCCACGAAGCAACCCCGCAAGGGCCCAAGCAAAACAGACGGCATAAGGGAGGTGAGTACCCCTCCACGAGGGGGTTGGATAAAGCACTCCCACTGCAGGAGTGCCTGTAAGCATCGGAATGGAGGCGGCCGAGTCGCTGGCCAGAGCTGGGTTGGACTGAGTAAGACTGGAGATTGTCTGCTGCTTGAGGGGAGGCCTCAACAGGTTTCACTCTAACCGAGGAAAGACCTGACAGTCCAAACCTATCTGCACGCTCCCAGCAGCGCCAGCCCTGCTCTGACTCAGCAAGAGTCACGGCTGGAACAGTGCAGGACAAGCAGCACGGAGGGACCCAACAACTTGCTCACCCGCAGCCGTCACTTTTGAGTCACAGGCGGGGGAGGAAAGGCCCAAAG